AAAGTTGGTGGAAACTGTCATTATAATGTAAGTACATATCTAATAGAAATATATAACATAGATAGCTTTTTTTTTTTTGTGCTATTTTTAAATATAGGCCCACTTGAACATTTTTACCAAATACGGCCACATAAGTGGTCCGTTGCAAAGACCACAGGTGTTGATATTGGGACAGCCCCAGCATCTCTACATACATTGCTCATCCTGTCTAATTGTTTTTGACCCTAATGACTGGGGTTGGGATAAAAAATGATGAACCTGACCCAAGATGAAGGGGGCAACACAGTGTTCATAGAGACTCATCTGGACTCCCTCAATGGCACGTTCCTAAATCTCACCCACCTTAATGCGTATCCAGAGGCCATCTCTATCAATTGTCCAGCAATTAATAGTGAGTGTCAAAAGGAGACAGATCACCATTAGATAGACCTGAACAGTGGGAAACACGGTACTTCTTCATGGGATTTTAGGCTAATCTCATTTTACTGGAACTGTTCTTCCCCCGCACTCACCTTTGGTGTATAAATTAGGCCAAAATAAACACAGTCATAAGCCAAAAGAAAATGGACGCTTTGGCAGGGCATTTTTTAATTTTTTTTTAGAAAAACAAATGGCATGAGTACAGAATTTCTGCTTCACCATAATTGAATGTGACTTAAAAGGGATGATTTTTTAGTCCCAGCACAATGGCTATACAAGTTGGTGTGTTTCTCAGTAGCACCTCAAGGAAATGTTTTATGTGGCAGCCAGATGGGGATAATAATTAAAAATCATAGGGTAGCATATCAAAAAGACTATAGCGTGGCTGAAACTAATGGCTCTTTCAGACTGCACGATTTTCAAAGTAGTCAGGTCGCTGCTCTTTTCACACTGCATGACTATCTTGGCCAGCATTCAGTCGCTGCTGTGTTCACACTGGACGATGGATCGGCGACAGAAGGTTTCACACTGCATGACTTTAGAAAAATCGCCGACAGACTCTGTCTAGCACGCTGCACGCAAACTACATTTCACAACAAACACGCGTGAGATATGAAAAGGAAACAACGCGCGACACCACACGTGCAAGACCGGAGTTCTCACGTGAGACTTTTTTTTTTCGACCCGGTTGTGGTACAGCTGGTGAAACAGACACGAGTGCTCCTGCCAAATTTCTACTAATTTTTCTTCCATTTATTGTGTCCAAATAGACCGAGAAGAAGCTTTTTTTGTTGAAACAATGCCATATCATGTTGATATGTGATCTATAACTCCTCCCCGAACTCCCAGCTGCTCTGTATCTTGCTCTCTCACTGGCTGCCGGTGATCGCCGATGTAGTTTTCAGTCAAAACACTTTTCACACAGCAGGATTTTGAATCGCCGACAGGTCCAGATATTTAGCATGCCAAATATCTCACGGGCGTCGGCGACTCGTCGGTGATTCTCTCAGTTCGCGTCTTTGTTCATTCACACTGCGTGATTGTCACTCGCGTGAACGAGCGCCGATTTGCCTGTGATTTCGGGCATTTGTCGGCGATTTCTCAAAACCTGTCGGCGAGCCAAAATCGTGGCTAAAATCATGCAGTCTGAACTCGGCATAAGGATATGCAACTGCAGGCTAACAAATATATGTCAGAAATATTGCATTCCCATTTTATGAGCAATCAATCATTATGCAGCAGAAAAAAAAATAATCATTCATACTTTTGTCACACAATAAAAAAAGGTTGCTGGTTAAAGTGCTCAGATGTTTTCTAATGAACTAACTAAAATAGACTCAGCTTAAGGATTATTTGGAACACCTGTTCAATTTCTCATTAAAGCAATTATCTAATCAACCAATCAAATGGCAGTTGCTTCAATGCTTTTAGGGGTGTGGTCCTGGTCAAGACAATCTCCTGAACTCCAAACTGAATGTCAGAATGGGAAAGAAAGGTGATTTAAGCAATTTCGAGCGTGGCATGGTTGTTGGTGCCAGACGAACTGGTCTGAGTATTTTACAATCTGCTCAGTTAGGGGGATTTTCACGCACAACCATTTCTAGGGTTTCCAAAGAATGGTGTGAAAAGGGAAAAACATCCAGTATGCGGCAGTCCTGTGGGTAAAAATGCCTTGTTGATGTAAGAGTTCGGAGCAGAATGAGCCGACTGATTCAAGCAGATAGAAAAGCAACTTTGACTGAAATAACCACTCGTTACAACCGAGGTATGCAGCAAAGCATTTGTGAAGCCACAACACGCACAACCTTGAGGCGGATGGGCTACAACAGCAGAAGATCCCACCGGGTACCACTCATCTTCACTACAAATAGGAAAAAAATACGCTAAAATTTGCAAGAGCTCACTAAAATTGGGCAATTGAAGACTGGAAAAATGTTGCCTGGTCTGATGATTTCTGTTGAGACATTCAGATGGTAGAGTCAGAATTTGGTGTAAACAGAATGAGAACATAAATCCATCATGTCTTGTTACCACTGTGCAGGCTGGTGGTGGTGGTGTAATGGTGTGGGGTTTTCTTGGCACACTTTAGGCCCCTTCTAATGCCAATTCGGCATCGTTTAAATGCTACGGCCTACCTGAGAATTGTTTCTGACCATATCCATCCCTTTATGAAAATTTAAAAATTTTATAAAAATGTATAAAATAAAAATGTAATGAATTATTATTTATGGCCACCATGTAGCCATCCTCTGATGGCTACTTCCAGCAAGATAATGCAGCATGTCACAAAGCATAAATAATTTCAAATGAACATGACAATGAATTCACTGTACTAAAGTGGCCCTCACGGTCACCTGATCTCAGCCAAATAGAGCACATTTTGGATGTGGTGGAAGAGGAACTTCACGGCCTGGATGTGCATCCCACAAATCTCCATCAACTGCAAGATGCTATCCAATCAATATGGGCCAACATTTCTAAAGAATGGTTTCAGCACCTTGTTTAATCAGTCCCACATACTGTAGAATATATATATATATATATATATATATATATATGTATATATATATATATATATATACTGTATATACTATATACTCTCTCTATATATACACATACTAAATACTATATATATATATATATATATATATATATATATATATATGTTATCTCAACATATATATATGTTGAGATAAAACAATAGCACTGACATATTTTACGATGCTTTTTAAGCTTTCAGTTCAAACAGCTCGACATGCATTTTAGTCTGGGACTAGACTTAAGCCTTTTCTGTGAAAATAATAATGTGATAATACTATTTAATAGTTAGTAGTCAGATATGGACAATGAAAAATGAACCACAACAATGAACTTTTATGAAAAATTTTAGTTTTAAATGCTTTTGTCTTGAGATTTTTACTTCAGACATGGTTAGCGAGAATCTACACATCAGACAGTGGTTGACATATCCTGATTTTTATTTTTTATTTATTTATTTTTTTCCAACAAGCTTATTAGAGTGTGTATTGAAGCAGTTAGCAAAGATCTTCAAAAGCTTTCCCAGGGCTCAATTTCAGGCAGGCTGAAGAGCGACCTCAGCTTAACACGAGGGACAAAGAGATTAACAGTGAGATTTGGAGTATAATCCAACGATCTTCTTTAATCTCTGCACGCCACAGAGCTTCCTCCTATAGGGCAACCATTTTCCACAGTCCATTGAAACAATTTCTGCCTCATTTAAATAGTAAATAATTACATTATCCTCACACATATTCTTATTTCTTCAAGCCGCAGTGTGATTATTAAGAGGTTGCATGAATGTGGGGTAAATAAAGCCATCACAATGTTTAGACTTCTCGCCTTTGCAGCCTCGCCACATTGTAATATCGCCTGCTCTTACCCGCTCGAAAAAGGATCTGAGATAAGCTGTTGGCACTGCAGTCTGAAATATAAATGTGACAAAATAAATTATAAATTGACACTACCGCAAAGCCTGTTTCAGGAGTCAGGTGGTTTTTGTTCAGAAGAAACCGAGTTATCATTTTTGACACGAATATACATGCTCGCCATGATCCGTGCTCCAAAAACAATGTGTTATCGCTTGAGGTTTGTCTGCATTTAATTTTAACATCAGAACCTGCTTTCGACTTTAGTCTGCCTGTCAGAGACTACACAGCTGGGCTCAGAGTGAACAAGGCAGCTTTGTCAGTAGTGGGAATAAGCTGAGCACAACTTTGGCTGCAGGACTGCTTTTTTTTAAAAAAAGATGAAGGTCCCGAAGAGCCTGTCCCAGTGAAACACTGTCCCTGCATCTGCTTCCTCAGTATGGTTCACTTCTCCTCACTCACTTGCTGGAACACCCTTGAAGTTTCGGTGTTATTCTTCACCTTACCGTCTGAATGTCTATTAAAATCTTGAGTTCCCTGTAGAATTTTATAGTATTCAGCTCCCTGATAATACCTTTTCTTATCAGCCAATATATACACACACACACACACACACACTGTATGGATAACCCACGACTAGAAGTGCATTAAACAAATTTATTTAAAAACTTAAAATGTTTAATATAATATTTTGTGAAAAAACACTAATTATGACCAAATTGTGTCTGTTATAATGATTTTTATTTAAATTAGTCTTAATTAGTACTAATTAATATGTTTATTATTTAATTATTGCTGGTCTACTTTCTTGTTTTTTTAGATTATCAACAAAATAATAATAATAATAATAATATGACAAAATTGTCCTATGAAGCAAGTATGCTGTATCCACTGTTAGATATTGGTAAATAGACGTGTTTTATAGAGGTTTCATTTCACCACAGTGCTAAAAAAGCCCATAGCCAAGGGAACACCCTCATACTGTATGTTCATATACAGTATTATGTTGTTGACAATGAAAAAATCTGTTGAAAATGGTGGAAATCCTTTCCTATATTCCTTCTGCAAAACCTACTTTTCTTTATTATTTATTTATTACTATAAAAAGATCCACTGCATTTTCCCACTTTGATTCTGAGAAAAAAAAAAAAAAAAAAAAAAAAGTACAATAGATGGAAAGTACAAAACATTTACCTCTGCAGCGCTTGTATTTTCTCTGCTGTGATTCCCTGAACAATCTTCTCCAGCACATCTGAGTCTGCACTTGGCTCTACCTTCACTTGCTCCCTGTTGAAGGCATATCGTCCAATGAGCAGCCCCAGAGCAAACACACCCAGCCCTGCTAGCAGGTATTTAGCCAGGCAGGTCCCATTCCATCTCTGGCCCTTGGGTACCGCTCGGCTGAAACGAGAGACGTAATTAGGGTCCTCCTGGAGACGCTCAAAACGTCCATGAGGGGAAACGGAGGGTTGAATTGGTTCCAGGTCTGGGTCCATGCCCCCGCCAGAAGAGCTGCTCACAGGTTGATGCTCCACACACTCCAGCTGGAAGCGGTCCAGGCCCGGTTCCTCCAGCTCTTTCTCCATGTCCCATTCCAGTTCCAGGGAAGCTGTGTGAAGCTCCACACTCTCCAGATCCCGCACACGGAGAGAACCGTGGCCAGCACGCACTTTCCTGTACGCCATGTCTGTTACTGTAGAGACATGAGAAACACACACACAAATGGAATTAGTTTACTTTTACATTTAATTTCTGTTTTAACACCTTCAATTCTTGGCTGTACTAGGGCTGCATAACTAATTGATAAAATTGATATTGAAAATAATTGGCAATGATTTTGATTGTTGGTTAATCAAATCTGTATACTATGCATGGAAAACATCCATTCACGCCAATAGGTGAAAAAGGAAACATTTCTATGGGAAAAACAGTGGAGAAAAAGAGCAAAAACCAAGTGGTCCTAAAAATGCCAATGACAAACCAAATAGAAGCAAATAGTGTAATGTTGCTTGCCCTGTCATGTGCTATGACAAATGTATTTGCGTGTGGTTTAATCATTTGAGAGACGCGTTTTCCTAAGTGAATAACTTGAATTATCTTTAAATGTTAGACAGTCACGCATATAATTTCATTTTTGCAAACAGGCTTGTACTGACGACAAGTGGTTCTCCGTTAAACTTCATAGACTTCAGCACATCAGACAAATGGAGTGCAATAAATAGGAGTGCAATAGTATTTTTTTTTGGTGAGTTTACATCCCATTTACACACAGACACACTATATATATATATATATATATATATATATGAAGAGTTCAGATGCAAATGCCTCTAAGTGAAATTTGAAATTCTCTTCTAGAATAATCATTTTTATCAAGCTTTTATATTTAAATTCAGTAATTTCACTTAAATGACAATTAATAGGTAATCTTCATTGCCATTAAAGTGAAATTACTTAACTATACAAGCTTGACAAAAATTAACATTCTTGAAGAAAATTTCAAATGGCATTTAGAGGCTTTTGCATCTGAACTCTTCATATATAATAATGGAAGTTTTGTGGAGCACTGAAGATTAAAGGTGCATTATGCAACATTTCATGTTAAAAATAGCCAGTTTTCTAACCCATACATGCTTAAACAATTGCCTGATGGGCTGAATGAGCCCTTCTCTGATCACTGCGATTGCCTCTATAATCCTGTCCAGTAAGATAAATAAGAGGGATTCAGGCTCGAATTTGAGACTGTGCGTGACGTCATCCGCGTTCACGTTCGCCTGGCTATGTCTGGCAGGTTTGTGTATTCGCCGCCATTCTCCGTATCAGAGAAGACAAGTTGAGCGACACAACTTTAATCAACTTTCGACAAAAGTAGAAGATGGATTCAAAGGGGCCGTTTAAATCTGGTCACTTCATGTGTTTTCTGTGATCGGATAGCTATTCGATCGTGAAAAGACCAGGTGTAAATGCCATCCGAAACGCATTCAAGACGGATTTGAATCTGATCGCTCAAACCACTTGAGGACGTGGTCTGGGCCGCATTCCAGATGAAACTGGACAAGTGTAAATGCATCTGGTTGTTGAAACCAGCTATAAGTCATGTTATTTTAGTCAGATATGACGACGCTACTGCGACGTGCATGATCGCCTCAGATGAGCAGCTGAGCACCTATTCATCAAGCCAGGGCGACGCAATCTATCACAAATCAAAGTGAAAGTAAGTCGCAGACGCTTAGCACTACAATCTGTTGCTTTCGGTGACGTGCACTTCATAAAATCTGTGCAGGTTAAGATCGGATTTATATCCGTTTTGTAAAAAAAAAAAAAAAAAACACATTTATGTGAGCAGGTGTAAATGGAATCATTTTGATAAATCAGATAGCTATCCGATCTGAGAAAACACATGAAGTGGCCAGGTGTAAACAGCACCAAAGAGACCGGCTTGTAGTTCATTCCAAACCGCAACGCAAACTCCACGTAAGACAAAGAAAATAAAACTTCTGTCTGTCTAGTGCCAGGCGTCAGAATAAGACGAGAGTCAACATCGGGAAGCTTTCAACAAATCTCCGGTCTGAATGGGATCCCGTTTGAGCCCTAGAGCAAAGTACTAACTTATATTGTTCATGAACGTGTGGATACAATAAACATATAAAACAGTTCAACATGGAGATAGATAGAAACAAAAACAGAAGTTGTCTACTACCCCCTTTCCCCCTGACACACACATATAAGTGTGTAAATTACTCAAATGCCTTTCCTTTAAATATATTTTAAATGACTTGCAGATTTATAAATTTATTACCTCATTATGACTGTCACAAGAGATAGGTGCGGCTGATGGTCCTTTGGTCATGAACAGCTTGTGTAAACGTGTGTATGTGTGTGTGATGGTTGCAGTTTTGCTTGTCGCCAGAGGGGGTGTAGTTCTGCAAAATCTCAGAGACTTGTGTTTTGCACCTTTAATGTTGAGAAAACACACACTCACACACACATTTATTTATATATAAAAAATAAATAAATGTACTTTATTCCTATGATGGAAAGCATGGGAATATTTCTGAATTTCTTTGATGAAAGAAATTTCAAAAGAACAGTATTTTATTTAATCATTTGTTGTAACAACGTAAAAGTGTTTACTGTCACTTTTGATCAATTTAATGCATCTTGCAGAAAACAAGTATTTTCTTTAAATAAAACCACAAATATCCCAGACTTTCAAAGCACAGTAAACTCTGCTGCCATGATTATTATTAGTCAGTGTTTTGTGCCAGTTGGACTCACATCACTCTCTACACAGACACAGAACTCTCTCAGGGAGGGATTTGACTGTTGCTGCTAAAAAAGGTCATTAAGGGTGACGACTTGGTTGGCTCAAATTCATAAAAGAGAAGCCATTGTCTCTATGTCCCATCAAATTTAACTATCCCTTTAACAGACAACGCCATCAAAACAGCCCGATCGATAATGACAAAACTCCAAACCGCTCAGAAATTCCAAACTGCACGCAGGGCCATTATCCAGTCAAACTGAGTCCCTGAAATAGGTTGCCTTTTAAAAAAAATAAAAAATACAGAGAGAAATATCTGCTGTCGGCACTAGGCAAAGCGAAGGGAGCTGGAGAACCCTTTGATAGTCACACTTAAAATAGTCCTTTAGAGGTGGGGAGAAATTTGTTCTGATAGAGGGAAATAACTCCACAACTACTAAACATTACCATTCTATACAAATGTCGTTGAAAATGGCACCGCCAAGGATGTTGCAACATTTTGCACATTCACTTTGAGCATTTGCACCCTGTCTTTTATAGCATTTGCAGTACAGAATTTTTCTGTTCTCAATCTTTTATAGGAATGAAGGGAATGATTTTGACTGCATGCTTTCACTTGTAAATAGGCCTCACAGAATGAGAGTAGGTGGAAATGATGTGTTGTCTCTCAACATTAATCTTCAGTGCTCCACAAAACTTCCATTATTCTAGGCCGCCGTTCAAGAGGAGCGATCCACACCGGAGCTTCATTTACACTCTGACCCGGGCAATGATATGGGTTGTCAAACTCTCAGGACAGCGCTAACCCTCATCTCCTCTGCACACCTCCTACACCCGTGCCTCCGGCTCTTTGCTCACAGACTGACAGCTGACGTTCAATCACCAGAAACATCAGTAATTTAACGCCTTTCGACTACCCAACAGAGCCATCAATTAAAGTAGAGGGGAATGTACCGTCTTTGGCTTTTCCTGAGTGATTGATGTTACAGTGAAAGTGGAAAAGATGCTTCTTCACATGCTCTGCTTCCACTCTAAACATTTACCTAATGGGTCAATAACATGATGCTAGTTTTTTGAGCCAGGTCAATAATGCAATTTATGTGATTTATTATTATTATTATTATTATTGTAATTATACTTTTCTTTATTTATTTTTTTTTGATTTGAAACGGGAGCATAAAGAGAAAAATGCCAAGTTTAACTTGCCTTTTAGGCAAGTCATGCCACTCGGCCGCCATCTTGGCAACGCCTCCGGGCAGCTATTTCGGACTTAACAAGACCAGGGTCCTATCTAAATGAATGAGCAGAGAGTCACTTTCACTGGTCACCGGGACATTAAATCTGCTTGTATAGAAACAGTAATAAAATATGATAAAAATCGCTGAAAACGTTTGATGACTTTGCCCTAAAATAAGGTTTAAAATGCCGTTTTCCCCCACAGGTTATACTTTTACTATGCATGCACAAGGGTTCTCTCGCTCTCTGTCGCACACGCTGCACAGTTTGAAACACAGTATGTGCGCGCTCTTGCTCGCTCGCTGTAGATTCCGGGAGATTTGAACTAATTTGCGGGCATCAGCGAGCCGCTATCAATCTGCGGGAGACTCCCGGAACTTCTGGGAGACTTGGGATGTCTGATATTTACACAACACACACATACACTGCATATCAAATCTGCCGCCTTTTCAAACAGTAACGTATTTTCCGCTGTTGCAAACCTCAACTGTGCGCATGCGTCGGTGGAATCAGACGACAGGCTTAAATGTTTCCCGGCTTGAGGCTTAAAAGCAGATGATTGGCTGTCCAGCGGGAGGTGCGGGACATGTGCATACAACCGCCATCTTTGGTGTTACGGGTTTTCCCTATACATTTGTATTAAGGATTGAGGAAGTGGCATGTCTCTATATAAATAGTCTCTGGTACGACTCAGCTCACTTTAGCTTGGTTGCTTTTCCACTGCATTTAGTACCTCTTTAAAGTGGATGGGATTAGTTTAAAAAGTCGCTAGAGAGTTGGCTGTTACTGGCTATTTAAATCTAGCGGGTTTGGTTTCTCGCGTCGCAAATACAATGACGCTGGTAGTGATGATTCTGTCTGACCAATAAATCATCTGCAGTGTTTCAACGTCACATTTTAGTACAGGTACAGTACGCTTGGAACCTCAAAAGACCAGGTACCATTTAAAGCGAGCCGTACCGTACCATACCATGCAGTGGAAAAGCGCCAAAGTGTGCCGTACCGAACCTAACCATACCATGAAGTTGAAAAGCGCCATAAATATCATAATGGGTGGAGAAAAGTAGAGAACAAAGGGAAAGGCATATTTAAAGGGGTCATATGATGGTTCTAAAAGGTTCAAAAAAGTAATTATTTAAAAAAATACACATACTGTATATTATTGTTGTTCCTCTAAGCCCTGCCTTTATGAA